TCTTGTGGACAAGACGGGGACACACATGGTGGCTGCAGGGACAGGTGGGCAGATAAGTGCCAAAGGAGTGCCTATCAGATGAGGACTGTTGTGAAAGCATCTGAGATCACATCCCTGTGGCACCAGAGGTGACTGCTTTGCTCCGATATCATTGGTACCAGTGAAATGAATGATAACGTGGAAAGCATTCTCACCTCTTCAAAGATGGTATGGAAACAAGAGTGGATTGCAAATACTTTGGATGAAAAATTAAGGGTAGGCCCCTAAAGTTTTAAAGCAGGGTAGAAAAATACACTGAGACCAGCAGGATGAAGTTTGAGAGGTTATATATTTATGGTCTCACCCACGGGTGCTAAAGCCAGGAACAAATGTCTTGGATTGAGTCAGTGTAGTTTAGGATAACTTATATGATAATTTGGCATTTTAATTAATGATTTGAAATTAGCAGGGTGATTTATATGGCCCTGAAGAGGTCACTCTCAGAGTGTGTGGTTAGAAGTATAACTAAGAGAATGGAAGTCTTGCTTCCATGTGACTCTGGCTGATGCAATTAGAACTGAGTATTGTGTGTGACTCTGAGCACCCTGTTCAGGAGGGACTGCAGGTTCCCTGGTGTGTGCGTTTAGGGGAGAGCTGCTTGAATGGTGGGAGTTTTCAAAGGCTTCTCCTACAGTTGGAAGAAACTGAGTTCCTTGACAAGGAGAAGAATAGGTTTGGGGAGGAAGGAAGGATATAGCTCTTTAAAAATATCCAAAGGGTTGCCCAGTGGAAAAAGAATGGCACAGTTCTGCTCTACAGAGGTAGAACTTGCCAACAGTGGCCCTGCACAGATGTGCCAAAGGCTTCTAGAGAGTTGGCGAATTTCCTGGCACCAGGGGAAACCACTTGGAAGACTTTTAAGCATTAGGTAGGTTATAAGTCTAGAAGATCTTTAAAGTCCTTTCAAACCTAGTACTTAACTAATGGATTTTTTTTTCAAGATAAAATAACCATTTACCTCTAGGCCATTGTTCATAACTTTTTTATAATTGTGGATCCGAAGCACATGAAAGTTGCATGCCTCACCCTGGGAAGGTGTACCTCGACTGGGGGTTGGCACAGTTGGTTGACCTATTTGCATATTTTGTCTAATCACACACAGTCCTATACTATGAGTTTGAACTTTTGTGATCATGTATTATATTTGGGAAAAATATTTGTCTTAATAGAGGACCTTGGATTGAAATTTGGTTCAAGAAAAATCTTTTTATCTTCTGGTAGGATGATGAAGCTCGTGGCTGGCAGGGAGGCGTGAAGCCATGGAAGGAGGAAGGAAACAGGAAACACTACCTTTTGTGCGAATTTTGCCCTATGTAATTGAAGCCATTTTAAAATTTGCTTTTCCTGTCTCATGTGAACTTTCTCTCCTTTTTTGGTTTCTGGTTTTCCTTTTCTATTCTTGTTCTTAAAATGGTGCCTTTTCCTTTTGTTCTTCCTGCATGGTCTGCATGGATTGCATCCATGGGCAGCTGTTCTTTTATACAGCTGTTACTTTCTACCTCTGTCCCCTCTCTGTGACTTCTTAGCTGTTGACCTTGGGAATGATCCCTTCTCTGCTTTCATTTCCTTACCTGGAGGAGAAAAAAAAATCAAGGGAATGTGAAGACCTATCTCTGGAGGCCTGCTACAAATGTTAAGTAGCTTAACTTAAGTTAAAATTAAAGATTAATAATTGTATAATTATAATTTAAAATTAAATTCTACAAATTTGTGTAGCTGTTGAAAATAACACCTGGCCCCTAGGAGGTTCTAACTTTCTATCCTCTTAGCAATTGAGCACCCGTGATTGTTAAGTGACAAAGATAAAGAACATCTATGATGTAATTCTTTAAAAATTAGAATATGATTCTTTCTAGCAAGACACTGATTTTACCTCTGTCGCTTTCTGGCAGTCAAGTTGTGGGTTGTGGCTTATGATGCTCTGTTTTTGCTCATCTCTTCTGAGCAGTTTCTCTCTCCCAGCCTCGACAGTTCAAACCAAAGAGGGCTCTTGGCTCTGTGTTTATATTTCTGCCCACAGAGAATTGGAGGCACTTCCCTGCTGTGGATGGCCCACATATGTGGAATTTCTTGCTCTTCTTGGCTTTCTGGGATACCTGTTTCCAGCCCAGAGAGCACAGCATTCTTTTACAGGGCTGTCTTATTGATTTGCCTACATGCCTTTTGCATTTGTGCTCAGAAGACATGTGTATCTTTAAGGGAAACACTTCTAAAATTGAATAAAGAAAGAAATGCAAGTTTGTTGAGAATCCCCTCTGTGTGAGGAATACACGGGGATCAGGGTATCAGCACCTTCATTTAGTGCTAGATTGGGGTCAGGCTGTACCAGGGGGTACCACTAGCTTACTGAGGACAGGGCTGGGAGCAGAAAATGGAGAAGGAAAAAAGGAATGAGGGAGTGGGGAGGATGAGGCCACTGAGTCATAGAAAGAGCAGAAGAGCAGTGTGGAAGGGAAGGGAAAGCAATACACACATGCACAGCTGTGTGTATTTTCCCCACGATCGTACATGGGAAGGAAATGGAATGACCTAGACCAGGATGTTAATGTGTCTCAGGGTATGGGGGAGAGGGCTTACGGGAAATGACCTTATTTATGTAAAAAAATACATGCTTGTATATGGATGCAAAAGAAATGAAAAGAGAGCTCTGGGAACCGAGTGTTGAGGATGCCCACGAGGGGTTGCTGAGTAAAAAGCTAAGTTGGGAAGGTGGGGGCTGTGATGAGGAGAGCTCGCCAGTAGCTGCAAGATCTTTCAGTCCTGGGGTTGGGGGATGGGTCCTCGGGTGTTTGTTGTATTATTTTGCTTTAGAACATGTAGAAATTCTTTTTAATGTATGCAATGACATATTAAACAATGATGAAGGGAAAGCAGTTGGGTTGCCATGTTGCCCTATGAACTATTTTCAGTCAAAACATAACAGCAGCCCCCCACGTAGCATGTGTGTGTGTGTGTGTGAGTGTGTGTGTGCGCGTGTGCTCATGCACTCTTGACGGATGAAGGGGAAAGTGAAGTGTGGACAGCTGTTCACTGGGGCAGAACCTTGTTAGTGTTAAACTCTCCCATCCCCAGGGCCTAATAAAATGCATTCATAGTGTGGATGAAGCAATGCTAGCGTTGAATCAAATGGCTTAGTGATGATCTGGGAGTCTACTTCAACAGAAAAGTAAAAAGTATATTAGGTTTTAAGCTCTGTGAGGGTGGAAAGAACATTGATCTTCCTCATTGTGCATTCAGTTGTTTATTGATTCATTCATGCTACAAATATATATTAAGTGCCTAATATGTATGCCAGGTATTGGATGATTTTTATTTTCATCTAGCACATCTGCAAGTCTTTTTTAAAATTCTGCAAAATAAAAAATATAGGATCTTATGAAATTCATCACAGGGGAATTTAGTAGGTCAGGAAGGCTCCCTGGAGGAGATGGCAGTTATGCAGCAGATTGAAGAAAACAAAGGAGTTATTGGGTGCGGGGAGGAGGGTTCCATGCAGATGGAAGAAAGAGTGTGTGTGCAGAGGCCCCAAAACAGGGAGGAAAGAGCATGGCCCTGGGAGGCAGGAGGCCCATGTGGCTGCAGCCTGGAGAGCACAAGGTGAGAGGTAGGCAGGGGACAGAGAGGTATGTGCAGGGGCTGGATCGTGTGGGGCTTGAAGGCCAGAATTTTTTATTTTGAAAAATTTCAAACCTATGGAAAAGTTGCAGATATAATAGAGTGATTTACCTAGATTTTCAAACAGTTAACATTTGTGTCTCTCTCTCTCTCTCTCTCTCTCTCACACACACACACACACACAGACACACACACATTTTTTTTTTCTTGGCTGAATCATTTGAGATTAAGTTACAGAAATCATGTCATGCTACCCCTAAATTCTAAAGCATATATATTCCAAGAACAAAGATAATCTCTGACATAATCATAGTACTATTATACAACCAAGACAGTTAATATTTATACAATACTTTTACCTAACATACAGTCCATATTTAAATCTCTAATTGTCCTACTAATGTCCTTTGATAACATTTTTTTGAAAATCCTAGACCCATTGACATTTTGGGGGATCATTTAGGCAAGTTATTTTGTAAAGTCTCCCTCAATTTAAATGTGTCTATTTCCTCATGCTGAAACTCAGGTTGAACATTAATGGTAAGAATACTACATAGATGATGTGAGGGTCTGAGAACTACTAACGCCAGGAGTACGTGTTGTCAGTTTCCATTATTGGTGATGTTCAATTTGATCAATTTGTTAATCTTTATAATTTCTCCATTGTAAAGATAAACTTTTCCTTTTGTAAGAAATAAAATAATCTGGGGATGGATACTTTAAGATTCTACAAATATCTTGTTCCCCAATAATCTTTTACTCAATGATTTTACTGTGGTGTCCCATGCCCGAGATAGTTATTACTCTGGTGATTACAAAATAGTGATTTTTCAAATTCTATAATTTTTTTCTACATTAGTTGATATTCTTCTATGAAGAAGAGCCTTCCTTTCTCTTCTACTCTTTTAAATCAGTATCAATAATGGACTTGTGGATTTTTAAAATTTAAAATTAAGATTTAATATGCACTTACAATCTATTTCTAACATTAATCATTTTGATGTTTCAATTTTTCCATATTTGGCCAGCAGGAGCCTCTATCTGAAAGTTTTTTGAGAAAAATATTAAGTGAATGAAACAGTAGTACAGAAGTGATGAACAAATCTGGATTTTCCATGCTTATTTTCTCCTGAGAAGCTCTATTTGTCAGTCTAACATGAATGTATTTCTATTTCTCTCTAGGTCTCGAGGACTAATTGGCTCTCATTCAGCAGGAACCTAACGGATAAGTCATCGTGCTATATAACCAGACAATGCTTGGTTTTAACACTGTTCTGAAAATGACTAAAGCAGTGTGGCAACGTGCCATTGTCAGAGGACGACAAACAGTTTGAGGAATTCTCATTAACCAACTGCAGCTTGAAGGCAGCCCCTTTGCACCGAGCAGGACTGTATGGCAAGCAGCCCCCGCTGAAGGGTTGAGGATGAGCGTCCCAGTGGCTCCGAAGAAATCATGTTACACTCAGTTGCGGGATAACAGAAATGGAGCGAAAAATAACAATGAGAGTATCCTAAGTCTGGGAGACACAAATGCCAATCAAATCATGCTGGAGGTCAGCTCCTCTCTTGATGAGTCCCAGGCAACCGACCGGGCAGGGGAGCTTGGAAATGCAAATTTAGGTGAGCCCGAAAACCGTACCCGTTTTCATAAGGAATTCCACCAACTTCAGGGCTTCGGGAAAGGATCCCAGGCTGGCTCCACCAGCCCGAGAGATTCCACACTGTCTTCGAGTGTGCACAGGGAACGGAGTGACGAGCACACGCCGGAGAGAGGCTCCGATCTCCTGCAGACCCCTCGGAGTGTGCAGGGACCGGGTCTGCTGGGCTGGAGGAATGTGATGGGTGAGGCCAGTCCGGAGGTTTTGGCTAAAAGGGAAGCGGACACTCCCCGGCACATTCCCAGGGATAAACTGGCGAAGACCCTCGACAATGAGGAGCGGAGGCGGCATTCTTCGGAAAGGGCGAGCGGCTCTGCGGTCGCGGCGGGGAGCCTCACTCCGCAGCCGCCGCCGCGGCCCGCACCCCCGGGCCCCCTGGACGCCCGGTGCCATGCGCCCGGGGCTGGAGAGGGGCCGCAGAAGACACCGACAGACCACTGTCTAGGGGCGGCTCTCCCTCGGACGGACAGTACCCCACAGGGAAAGGGTGCGCGTCATCCCAAACCATCTACCTCAGAAACCACGGAGACCGCGCGCTCGGAGACCAGGACGGAGGGGGGCCGCGGCCTGGACGTTTGCCGGGAGCACACGTCGCGGTCTGCCCAGCCAGAACCTGCTCGGAATTCGACTTCGGCATCCAAGGAAGTCCTGAGCAAGCCAGAAGCACAATTAGGTCAGGGCAAGGGGGAGCCTAAGCCGGCGCCGGAACACGTTCGGCCCTGGGCTGCGCAGGAGTTGGCGTCAGCCCAGGCAGGGCATCTGGGGCGCCGCATGGAAGAGGGCCTGTCAGCCCCGGAGAGGAAGGAGCCGTGTGGGGAGGCACAGCGAGGAGCCACCGGGGTGTCCGGCCAGCTGTCCAACGGCGGGCGCCCCCACCCTGGGGAGAAGACAGGAGTCAGCCCAGGGGAGGAGGGTCCCCTCCAAACCGCCCCCAAACAGGGCCCTGCTTCCTTGGGAGCGGCCGGTAATCAGCCCTCTGAGGGAACTTCACCCTGTGCAGGTAGGAAGTTGGGGGAAACGACATCCGGCAACTTTTCACCAGGTGATGGTCATGTGGCTTTTATTCCTAGTGATCCGACTGAGGACAAACCCTCAGATGTCACCGAGGAGGAAGGGCCACAGGGCAGTGCGAACAAGGACCGAGCTCTGGTTTTGGCGTCAGGTCCTTCTGTTGGAGGGGGCAAAACTGAGGCCCCTGGGCCCCTGGACCTTCAAAGCAGCTGCTCAGAAGCAGGAGAAAGGAAAGAGATCGCTACACCTGTTATTGAAAATAGGGACCTTCTAGAAAATGCATCTAAGATTGAAAGCACCCCAGCAAGAGCAGATTCGGTTCTCAATATCCCAGCGCCCCTCCACCCAGAGACAACTGTGAACACGACCCACCAGCCTGCAACACCCAGTAGCAATTTTCAGGACGTCAGCGTGTTCAGTGTGGACGCGGGGTCACCCTCGGTGGTCCCAGCCCCGGGCGACTGTGCGCGGTTGTTGAACACATCCCTGAAAGTGCCTGACAAGAACACCTGCCCCAGTGGGATCCCCAAGCCTGTCTTCACACATTCCAAGGACACGCCTTCCTTGCAGGAGGGAATGGAGAACCTTCAGGTTGAAAAACCAGAAGAGAGAACAGAAACCAAGCCCATCATTATGCCCAAGCCCAAGCACGTGAGGCCCAAGATCATCACCTATATCAGGAGGAATCCTCAGGCCCTGGGCCAGGGGGACGCTTCACTGGTCCCTGTGGGGCTTCCGTATGCCCCACCCGCATGTAGCATGCCTCTTCCCCAGGAGGAGGGGCTGGCAAGTGGAGACCTTAAGCCATCTGCCAACCTCTATGAGAAATTCAAGCCAGACTTGCAGAAGCCCAGGGTCTTCAGTTCCGGATTGATGGTGTCTGGGATCAAGCCCCCGGGACATCATTTCAGTCAAATGAGTGAAAAGTTTTTGCAGGAGGTAAGAGAATGTCATTGTGATATGATCTGCAAGTTGAATATCCTAAAGTCTGTTATATATTTTCAATGAATTGTGAAAGCAAAATGTCTGCTCTAAGCAAATTGCAGATTTTCATGGATAAGCTTGTAGAGAAATGGATGTTTTTGTCTAAAGGAGATTGTGTAGAGAAATGGCCGTTTTTGACTAGAAGAGTTTGATGGTCTTAATGAGATAGACCCAAAATCTAAAGAGACTCATTTAAATTTTGGCTCGCTATAAAACATGTGAACTTAGATAAGTATGCATTTAAATAGGCTTCCCTGTTTAAATAAGGGAGCATAATTCTTGTATAAGCCAGGTCAAAGGAAGAAAGAATCTGAAATAAGGATATTCTTCAAATTAATCAGACTTATCCTCCAATGAGGAGTATTTCCTTTTTGGGAGAATCTCATACTCATTCATAGAAGAGCAAAGTGAATAAGCGGAAAATAGTATGTTAGGCGTGGGCTCTCTTTTTAAAGCCAAAATAATAGCTACAGCTGACATTTAGTGGTGTGCCTGCTGTGTGTTGGGCCCACGCAATAGAACATTTAATCTTCGTCAGTCCTCACGAATCCTTACGGCACTTCTCTGAAGGTCGGTATTGCAGTTTTTGTCACTGTCTAGATGAAGAAACAACTGGGAGAGCTTTAAGTCGCACACCTAAGGCCACAGAACAGGGAAGGCACTGAGATTCTCGCTGTGCGGTTGCAGACTGCGCTGTGCAGTCCCTTTCTGTACCAAAGTGCTGTGGCGAGTCATCCTCATGGACTCAGAACTAAGGTTTGTCTCCCGAGGCAGTGTCTTCATGGCACCTGGGGGCCAGTTAAAATGAAGGCTGGATGGGGCCTTCCTCTCCCTAACGCCCTCAGGTCACGCCGAACATGAACAGGAGCCTGTAGGAGGGCTCAGCTTTTCGGATGTACTTGGTGTGGCTCCAGTACCAACCCGCCCTCCTCTCCTTCCACTCTCCCTGTCCCCCTCTGCTGCCCCGGAACCTTTGCATTTCCCTCTGCCTGGAATGTTCTGCTCCCAGTTACCCGAATGGCCTCTTCCTCACGCTCTCAAACATCCACCCATCTGTCCTCTGAGTTCCCTGCCTGCAGGTTATTTCTTCTTAGCACCTACTTTCACCTGAAACATACACATTTTTGGTTTTCCTGCATTGACTAGAGTGTAAATGCCACGAGAACAGGGATTCTTTTCAATGTTTTGTTCCCTGCTGTGATCCTGGAGTTTAGAACCGTGCTTATTATAAATATGTGTTCAAAAAATGTTGAATGATGGCTGAATCATGAATCCTCTATATGTTGGGACCAAACAAAAGTATACCAAGAGTTTCTAGAAGTAGAATGATTGAGTCCAAAGTTGGGCTCGAGTTTGGTTGATGGTATTCACGTATTCGAAGAGTGTATTGACCACAGCAGAAACGGTTGGATCTAGCACAGAGGAAAAGGTGAATCCATTCTTGGCAGCAGACATTGACCCAGGCAATTCAACAAGCTGAGCCCCTGTGCTGCCCTGAGGTGGCCCTCAGCAACTGAATTATACAGCTCGCTCTCTGTGTTCTGACCCTGGGCCTCTGAGCAGCCTCTGACTATAAGTGGCTTCCCCCCTCACGTCCCTAGAGAGAAGATGCTGGCTGGAGGATCCAGGTGTCTGTTTCTTTGGCAGGGGTTTGTCTTGCCGTGCAGGACTGCATAGCATCCTGTTTCTAAGTGGCATCTCACGTGAGCCTTGCAGTGAGAGCGGGTTCTGGCCAGAGGACACTAAGTCTGGCCCTAGGCAGTGGTCTCTCACTAAAAGTGGAGAAATTGCCCTTCTGGTTTTACACATCAGTCTCTGAGTTGGGTTATGGTGAGTCATTCTCAAATTTCTAAACACGCATCTACCTGGGCCTCCGGGGTTCAGGGTCAGATTCTGATGCTGGGTTCTTCTCTAAGGCAGGGGAACTCCTCACAAGGACTCTGGGAGCCGATGCTCCTGGGACCGCAGCTACCAAAGCTGGTTAATTACATGAATAAACCTTCTTCTTCTCAAAGTGTCACTGCAGAAGTTCCATGAAGAGACCCTCGATTTTTCTCCGCAAAAACACACTCATGAGGGAAAGGATGTGGAGATGTATGCAAGAATCCTGTTATTGTCCATAATTTTTTTCTCTGTGTCCTTCGTTTTTCTACTGTGTGTTCTTTTTTCTGTGTTGTTCCTACTCCTTCCAGGAAAAATTCCTATATTATGTGCATATTTTTCCAAAAACTATTTGCTCTACTTTATTATCTGAAAGCTACCTCAAGACTCAAGGAAATGGGATTGTGTGGACATTATGTGGCTTTAGTGGTTCTGAGAGGTTTGAAGAGACCCGTAGATGTGGTGACAGCATCAAAGCCTCATACCAGCCACTGTGCCCTAGTGTCTGAGGACCATTTTCTGCTGTGATCTGAGAGGCCCAGCCCCTTATCCAGGCTGCAGGGTAGAGCAGAAAGCCCTGGGTGTCATGCCGGGCTCATTTCTATGGCAACCTTCTTTAACCATAAGTGGGGCACAGGCTGGCCCTTGGCCATTTGTTCCTGTAGCTGTGACCTGATGTAACCCAGCAAGTCCCCATCCTGTGTTCAGGCTCAGTACAAGGAGATCCAAAAGCCACCTTCCCCTGCCAGTGTGCCCCCAACTCACCACAGGGTGGCTTCATTCAGTCTCTGGGGAAAGAACACATTTCTGACCAGTTGCAACAGAAATATTTTTCAATTATAGGAGCCAAATATGTTTTTTATAAAGTGGGAGACTCTTAAAGATAAAAACCAAACCAGCTTCAGACTCTTCTCTCATTATTGACAGATCCCTGCTGGTTCCATAGCATGGATAGAGACAGAAAAATCAAGAATAAGTGCTCTTCTGGGAGAGAGAGTCTCTTTTCAGTTGGCAGGAACCACACAGACATTTAAAGCTTCCAGAAGTGGCTTCAGAGATCATCTGGGATCTAGTCATGCCAGGGTGATAAAGTACGCTCACTTGTTTAGACTGTTCCCCGCTTCTAGCTCTCTGGAGGTCTCAGGGACACTCCCTCCCACTGACAGCCTGGGAGCCCTTTTCATTTTTGGCGAAGGGAGGGAGAAGAGGGGAGCAGGGTCGAGAAGACAGGGTGAGGTGGGTATCGCAGTATACAGCTGTACAATTCAGGGCTGCTGTCCCTCCCGCTCCCTGTGGCCACCTCATCTCCAAGGGGCACTGCAGCAGTTAGGGCTGTCCAGAGAAATAGGACCAGTAGGAGACAGGGGTGTGTGTGTGTGTGTGTGTGTGTGTGTGTGTGAGAGAGAGTTATCTGCATACACACACATGTACATACATCTCTGTGATTTGAAGGAGTTGGCTCATGTGATTGTGGAGGCTGGCAAGTCAAAATCTGCAGGGCAGGCCGCAGTCCAGAGACTCAGGGAAGAGTTGGGGGTGCATTCTGAGTCCAAAGTCAGTGTACTGGCATAATTCCTTCTTCTTCAGGAGAAGTCAGTCTGTTTATATTAAGGCCTTCAACTGATTGGATGAGGCCCCCCTGCGTTATGAGGGGTCGTCTGCTTTATTCAAGGTCTACTGATTTAAATGTTAATCTCATCTAAAAAATACTTTCACAGCAATATCTAGAGTAATGGTTGACCAAATATCCAGGTTCCGTGGCCCAGCCAAGATGCCACATAAAATTAACCATCCCCAGAACCCTCCCCTGCCACTAACCCAGTGGCTTCCTAGTGTAGCCTCCACCCTTCCCTGTGTCTTCCCAGCACACGATCCCAGTGAAACCAGGACAGGCAGATAGGAACAGGGACAATCCAACACGAATTTGTTTGGGCACCTTGACTTTAGGAGTTTTTTGAAATCATAGGATTCTTTTCTTTGCCTTCAAAGTTACTTCTCTATAAATCCTCCATTAGAGCAGGAGGAGTGAAAACAGCGACATTTGGGGTTGGTCTCTGTGTCTATGACTGAACCAAGTTATCTGTTGTGTTCTGTCAGTGAAGATGAAGGAACAGAGTGTGAAGCCTTTTTGTAGATTCCCTTGTTTAATTAAAAATTCACAGACTAGGCATCAGAGGCAGAGTTTTCACTTTTATAAAGAATTTGTGGTCTTACCGGAAATAAATTACACAACACAATGACAGGCATTGAAGTTACTGAAATCCTTAAGATAGATCATTGTTGAGTTGAGAGCGTGGTGCATTTTGACCGCTGAAAACTATCCAGTTCCAAAGCACTGAGTAATTCCTGAGATCAGCATATTGTAATCCTAAAAACCCAATAGATATTGGTTGGAAATGATATTAATTTCCCCATGAAAGCACCTGCTCTAAGCCATGAGCAATAGCACCTAAAATTTAAAAACTAAAATTAAAAAAATAAAAGATATATGAGTATAAGAGAAAACTAGAGATTAATAGGGAGAAAGTAGAAAATGATAAAAATTTTATCAGAGCGCAGATGTAGAATGTTCTTTCACAGAGATATAATTTGCCACAGCCTGAATGCAGTCTATCTACTTAACAATCATGCATATTTTACAGTGTGATTATGATAAAACTTTAAAGGCCTATTCTTTTGTTTCTATAATGTCAATTTTAAGGAAAACTTTGTATCTGTTTCAACATTAAAAGAGTATCAACTTAAGGGTTTATCTCTTCAACAGCTTGGATCAAAGCTTTTATAGCCCCTATTAAAAATATTGTTAAATGCTTGTGATCCCTGAATGGATACAAGTTTGACACATAAAACGTGTGGTGGTTTAGAACAGAGTTAATTAACAGATGTATCTTTTTATACATAGCCCTTAGCACTGTTTTTTATTATAACTAAAGCAAATAGATTATTTCGTTCTTTCTCTTCTTCCATGTTTAATATAAAGAAACACTGATAATATGAACAGACTTTGTGGGTACAGAATTGCTATAAAAAGGTTCCCACCTTTTTATTCTAGTCCAAACTGTTGTATTCTAGTCCAAACTGTTAACTATAGTAACAGTAATGTTGTGTTATTATATTTAGGAAAGAATGTAAACGTGATTTATTTCTTTAATAAATATTTATTGACTTCAGCTCTGTGCTAGACACATATTCTAGGTGCTGTGAAGTCAGCAGTTGACAAGACTCTGCCCTAGAACTTCCATTCTAGCAAAACTTGCTCAAACCTTCCTGGGAGCAACACCTCACCAGGGAAGGCATTGAGAGAAGATAATTCAGGCTCTGGTTCTTAATTGTGTAAACATACAGTAGAGGCCTGAAAACACATTTTCCATTACTCTATTTTTCCAAATAGCCTTTTCTCCCTTATTAACAATGCCGATTTTATTTCCTAGGTAGCCTAATAAAAACTTAATATAAATTGATCAAGTTCATCCACTTATTGTAAGACTAGGTTACCATAACAATTGTGCCTTTTCTCTACAAGTATGATGAAACTTCAGTCATGTTTTGAACCTTTGCTAAATGCTTTCTTCACTTTATTGACATCATTTATGTATCCACTGGCATCTCACTCAAATTCCAATGATTCTGTAACAATGCAATTTAAAAAAATCTTATAGAGGGAGTTCCTTTTTCTCCTAGTAAAATATAGATTCATAGAGTATTAGAGCTGTAGAGACCTGAGAGATCATCCGGTTGTGTTAAGAGATGAACAATTAGAGATGAAGACACTGCAGCGCAGAGAAGGTGAGTGATCTGCGATCAAGCAGCTCCCTGGTGCCAGAGCGGTCATTGTCCAGCCTTGGTCTCCTGACCCCGTGTAGGATCCATACTGTGATGTGAAGTTCTCTGACTGAGCTTCTGATCATTTGTCATAGGTCACAGACCACTCTGGAAAAGAAGAGTTTTGCTCTCCTCCCTATGCGCACTACGAAGTCCCTCCAACTTTCTATCGGTCGGCCATGCTCCTTAAACCCCAGCTGGGACTGGGGGCAATGTCCCGTTTGCCTTCTGCAAAGAGCAGGATTCTGATCGCGAGTCAGAGGGCTTCGGCGAGTGCCATCCACCCCCCAGGACCCATAACAACAGCTGCCAGTCTCTACACGTCTGATCCTTCAGGTAACCGATCCAACGATTGCTGCCTTTTCCTGCTGTACATTTTAATAGTGATCATGTAAAGGGGTGGAAACTGCCTAAAATGTGAAAGCCTCTCATCCTGTAAGAGGAGCCTTTTTCTGTTCTTCCATCTGTCTGTAGATACAGACATTTGTGAAAACTCATCTGTCTGCAACTGTCATCCTCCACGTTCCTTTAAAACGGTGGCCCTTGTTACCACCACCTGGCCTGTTGTAGTTTCTTTCTTCTCTAAGACTTCCTGTAGACCAGGACTCAGAAACGTTTGCTGTCAAGAGCCAGATAGCAAATATTTTAGAGTTTATGGGTCATAACAGCTCAGAGTCATAAATACTCTGCCTTTTCTCCCTCTGCCTTCGTAGCATGAAAGCAGCCACAGGTAATAGGTGAATGAACAGGTGTGGCCGTGTTCCAATACAACTTAATTTATAAAAACAAGTAGGGGACTCGATCAGCCCTCAGGCTGTGGTTTGTCAGAGAGATCTTCCTGGAGTGCAGCACCGGCTGCATCGCTCTTTTTGTCTGCTCAGGAATCTTGAACGCTCCGTACTGGCTCGCAGAGCACCCTGCCACCTTCCCAGCCCCCGCCCTGCTCCACAGTCACGGCCAGAGTCATCCCTGATGTTCTTGGCACTTCTCCACTCTCTTCGCTCCTTTCCCGTGCTCCTCCTTGTTTTCTCCAGGACTTACTTACACATTATTTTATTTATAGAAATAATACGTGCAAAAAATTTAGAATACAGACAAATATGAAGAAGAAACTAATAATACATGTAGTTTTTGGCACCTGGCTAGTGTTGATATTATGGACTATTTTCTTTCAGTGTATTTTTTTTCTGTGCCAATAGTTGAAATAACACAGTGTAAATGTCATTTTTTTTCATGAATATTATGTTGTAGGCATTTCCTATGCCATCAAAATGTTTCAGAAATATTTTAGTGGAGTAAAACATTTTGTTTTGTTCATGCATTCATTTATTCAACAAATTTTGGATGCTTGTTATGTGCCAGAAGTTGTAGATTGAGGACTAACTATACCATGAAGAAAGCAGAGAGAGCTCCTTCCTTCATGCAACTTATAATCTAATGGATGGAATGGCCATTAAAATATAAGCACAAAAATAAATACATAATTATAAATTTGATAAATGTTATAAAAGCAAAGAACATAATGCTTTGAGAAATTGTAAGAGAAGAGTAATATGGATGGGATGGAGGTGCTTTAGGGATGGTCTCTTTGAGGAAGTGGGGAGCGTAGGTGGTCATGGGGTTAATATCAGAATTGATTTAACCATTCTCTAATTACTGACAATTAGGTTCTGGTTATTTTACAGTATTTTAAATAATGCTGCAATTTGCATCTTTGTGTATGATTATTTGTCTTCATTTTGTTTTCCTTGGATAGATTATTTGAAGTGTAATTATTGGATAAAAGCATATCCCAACATTTTTTAAGGCCAACTAATTTTCTGGAAAACTTGTAACAATTGTTTTTGTACTAGTGTTTCTTGAGAGTACTTGACAGTTTGAGTATTACCATTATTATTATTTCATTTCTTTTATTATTATTGGATGGGATATTTTTTCATTTGTTTGCCATTTTTATTGCTTTGTGAGTTGTCATCACTCAGGTAATTATTGGTGGTCTTAATAATTTTTAACAAGCACTTCTATTAAAAAAAATCACATTCTTTAATAGTTATCATGACATATATATATTGTGATGGACTTTCCTGTTGTCAGAGCTGGTGCCAGTCAATTACGTGATTGTGTTACTCATTCAACAGTGATAACTGAGAGACTGGGGGACTGCGGGACTGCCAGCACTGTTCTTGGTGGGGAGGGGGATAAAGCAGTGAAAAGCCACAGAAGAATGGAGTTGCCATACAGAGCAGTGGGGAGAAACGGGTGTACAAAGGCTGGTAGGAGCCACATGAGGACATGTGGAGGTTGAGATGCCTTTGGTCGTCCTACAAGATAAACGCTGGATCCATGGGACTAGAGTTTGGAGGACAGGACCTGCTGGAGATAGAAGGTATTAGCCGACAGCAGAGAGGGGGTAGGTGAGGCCATGATGTTACTGAAAACTCAGCCACTTGTCCACGAGGCTGAATCAGAAGAACGAGGACAAGCAGTTTGGGGAGAAAGAAAAGAGAGTTTACTTTGCAAAGGAGGAAAAATGGTAGACCTTCTCGTCTCAAAATCCCAAATTTCCTGAACATAGGCAGAAATACAGAGCTTTTAAAGGGAGGGTTCTCAGCTTCAGGCCATTACTGTGGTTAACTATTGTAATCTCCCATCTCTACCAAATACAAGCCTGTGAACTCCACAAGCTGCCCACCTGCGGGGCTGGCACCACATGGGAGTTTTAACAAAAGACTTAACCTGCCTCAGGGATACAGGCCAAGCAGCAGTTCCCAAAAAGAGTGGGGGAAGTTTTAAAGAGACAGAAAATCTTTTTCTTTTTTCCCAGGCCCTTCCCTGTTACGATGACACTCCCCTTCCCTGGATTCTGGTTGCTGTCTAGCATCACCTCACCTTCACCTCTGCATTATAAACTTGACATGAACTGAAATTACGTGCCTTTGAAATAGTATGATGTTCATATTTTACTTTATGCACAAAATGTAGAATAAATTCAAATCCCTAAATATAAACTTAGTTGGGGTTCATCTTGTCATAGTCAAGGTTTTAACAACATACCACTTGTGTAAAAATACCACTACTGATAGAGGTGGGCAGACCGGGTCCTCCCGAGGCTGGCTTATTTGTACTCACACATTTATGATAAGGTTGTCACTTTTCCAAATCTCAGTTCAGCCCTTGGAAGTACCCATGGGAAAGGCTCCCCCACGCCTACTCCTTTAGGACACCAATGCTTTCCCTTGAGCTTCTGGGGGCCTTAATTTAGAGAACAATGTACTTCCCCATGAGTAATCATTGGAGCCCCAGTAAAGCTGCTGACACTGACAGTTGTCACTCCTACAGGACATGGAAGATGTCAGATCCCTTCTTGGTGCTGCTGAAGGGATTCCCCTGGCAGAGGCATTGGGACAGACGATGAGAGGTTCTTGCTTCAGAGATGGGGGGCTTTAGAGGGCAATGACTCAGCACACTGGGCTCCTGGGCACTCGGGCCGTGCAGCGGCCCTTGGCTTGGCCTGCTCACTTGGCAGTCGCAGGCGGCAGGCCTGCCCCCTTCTCGGGCAGTTTTGCTAACGTCCCCCAAGCTTCCAGCACCTGCTCTGGCAATGCGCCTCACTCTTTAACTTCTTTTCTTTCTGCAGAAACCCTTCCATTTTTCTTCAAAGATAATCCCTTTCTTCACAACCCTGTTTTCTTTTTATCTTACAATAGACTTAAATGGTCCACTAAACACAGTGTCAAAGTCATTATCTGTCAAAAACTATTGATAGTGTCCCTTAACTTGAGAACTAAGATGGCTTACCTTTCAAACTGTCCCAGGAAATGAAGGGAAATATCTGCATGCTCTCTCTGGAATGATAAAGAAAAAGAAAACCCAAACACCCATTCCTGTTCTTAACCCCCACACTGGACCATATCTGTCAACTGGCTGTGCCAGATCTTTCTGTCCTGCAATATCTTTATTTTATAAAATAATGAGAAAACCAACTTCTGTGGATTTTCTGGACCTTAGAATTAGGGCCCATGGACCGGCCACCTGTTTTTGTAAATAGATATTGCAACACATCCACACCCTTTTGTTTGCCGGCTGCTTTCAGAATTGAGTCATTGTGACAGAGACAGGATTTTGCCTAGGAGCTGAAAACATTTACTGTCTGGCCCTTTAAGTAAAAGTCTGTTGACCCCTGTGTTAGAGTCCTTAGGATATCGCCAGGTTACCCTTCAGAGTCATACTGTTGAGGCTGAAAAAGTATATGGCAGATTTCGAAACTCTTTGGCTGGTGAAAGTCTAGGTATGGGAGACAAGGTGAATTGACTAATGTAGTTTACCAAAATCTATTCACAGGGATATCCTTTTTTGGTTGGTTTGTTTTTCTGGAGAAGTGAGATGTCCCAACACAAGGCCACAGGGCTGTGCTGGAGTCCTGGGCAAGGAGGCCCCAGGAGGCCCCAAGGGTATTGGGCTGTACAGCATAGGAAAACTGAAGTTTGTGCCCCTGTGGGAGGCTGGCAGGGTCACAGCTGTGCAGCTGTCTGTCATGCACCAAACATCATCTAGATAAACTGAGTCCTTGGGCTGAGACGTGCAATAAAGAATCTAAACAGTGACCATGAAAGGAGCCTCCAGGACTGTTCTCTCTCTCTTTTCAAGACCCCTTGAGATTTTCTCCTTAAAGTGATTTTAAGATGGTGAAATTAAGAAATCTTGGCCATTTTTTTCTCAGAAGTGCCCCTGGCAACCCCTGCCAGAACAACAGGAGAACCATGGAAGCATCGTCTTTAACATATCTAGAAACATCCATGTTTCCCACCACAGTAACCAAGGAAGGGCTGTCAAGTGCAGAAAACGCAAAGAGGATGCCTTCAGCCGCAGATCTCAGGACAGGTCAGCAGAGCCCACAGAGTGGCAGGTCGGGGCTTGCCCTGGGAGAAAGCCCAGAATCCGACATTGGAGGAATGGGGCAGAGGAGGTGAGCGGGAGGAAGGCGTGTCCATGGCCATTGTTTTCACCACAGAGCAGCAGGGCGTCAGGGCTGAGTGAGACAACACACATCTTTACGATAACCAACCAGTGAGGTTGGTGTCGGGAGACTCTAAACTGCAAGCAGCTCTACAGCTGCCAACTTCATTTTTCTGGAGAGAAGCAGAGGTTGAAGAAGAGCTTGTGTCTCACACATACACGTCGGGTCCTAAGGAGCCTCTCTGAGGAGGAGTGGGAGTTCCTGCCAGCTTGGAACCCGGCTCTGGGCCCTTCCTGCATGGACTGATGCTAACAGCTGGACAGGGAGAACTTGCCTCCCCACGCCCCCTTCTCTCCTCACCTACACTCATGCATGAGGC